TAGTACTGGGGGGAAAATTATATCCTCTGAAGATCTGTGTAATCCTCAAGATAATATCAGAGATGAGGTGGGGTTGAAGCCAACTGCCTTTTTTTGTGTTTTTTGAACTGAGATGATTCTTATTTGTATATAAAGTCTTGTGAGTGAGTGACCTATCACATCCCTGCCTTTTGTCCCCTGAAATAGTGTAATTCCCGATGAGCAGGTGCTCAACATAAGCTCCTTAAATGGAAGAAAGTGTTTTTAGAGACTCACATATTGGGCATTAAAGCACATTCACCCAGATTCTAAAACACCTCAGGGGTCATAATCTGAGAGAGAGATCAATGATTACAGAATTCCTGAATTTATAAACACCTAAAATAATTCCAGTTTTATGAATTCAGGTTTCTCAACATCCTCTATATTTAAGCACCTCATATCACTAAATTTTATCTTTTGAGCAAGACATGAGTATTATAATAGAAAAAGTTCACAATAGAATTTAATCATTTGAAATTGCTTACTTACAAAAATCCCATGACTAAGCTTGTAATTTGAAGATACTACTAGAGTATGTTTATGAAGCTAAACGATATGAACCATATTATAGCTGTATAGAAAATGCTGCATGACAATGAATTAATTTCTTATGCCTGCTTTGAAGTGATGCTTCCAAGGAAGTTTCAGCAAAATTGATTTATTGAATAATTAGTTCATAGGAAAGGAAAATAGCCTAACAAGGAAACTTGAAGCTCTTGCAACAGCATTTTGAACTTTTGCAAGTTCAAAAACTGATGTCTAAGAGAGAGAGAGCATTTGGGCCTCCCTGGTGGTGCAGCTGGTTGAGCGCAGCGCTGTGAAGCTGGCTGCAGCCTCTGCAGCACACGTTTGATTCCCGGCCAGCCAGGGAGACATTCTCATGGCGCAGCAGACCTCTCCTGTCTCGTCTGCTGCTCCCCTCAGCAGTGCTTTCAGTCCGTCTGCCTGTTCTGCTCCCTGCTCTGTCTCTGGTGAATCCTCTCACCCTCCCAAGCCTCTGGCCATACCCCAGTTCTTGTATAAATAAAAATTAATCTTACAAAAAATACTAGGTTTAAAAAAAAATGAGAGACAGCAATTTAGAGGGCGCTGGTGCTTTAGGAACTACAGCTTGAGAAATTTTAGAGACAGACCTCATTTTTTTTCTATGAATACAAGTACATTGGTAGGATTTATACAATGGATATTATGTTGGCAATGTTTAGTTTTGCTAAAACCAGAGGATCTATATTGCACTGTGCAAAATGGCATAGTTAAATCTAACATTTTAGCTTAATTTTGGCTTTGGATTAATAAATACTGCAATCTTCACCTGAATTACTATTACTTACATTTTACTTAAATATTCTTTAAAATAATAAGGAAGAGAAATCTCTTAAATAATATAGCACTGAAGTTGAGAAGAAAATTTTAAGATGGTCTAAATGAAAGTTCCTCTTCCCAACACACTCAACAAAATAATAGCAATTCAGAAAACCAGTGTTTGAGTGACCAAGATGTACAATTTTTCACACTGCAGTCTTGTCACTGGACTAGGAAATTTTATGCTGGTTCCATTTTAGTCCGCGGTTTTGGCACTCACAAGTCTGTCCTGTTTTGTAATAGAATATTTGTACAAATATGTAAGTTCTGAGTCTAATCATCAAGATTGTGTGATCATCTAGGAGGTTTCAACAGGAAGCAACTATGTGACAAACTTACCTCTCCTCTGTTTCAGCAAGGAACACCTGAATGCTACTGTTGCCAGAACTTTCTTTCCAGATGACAGAGACTATTCTGGCAATATCTTCATCTCTGTTAGGTGATGTGAGGTTTTTCCACTCTTGAGCCTTTCAGAGGCTTTTCCAGTGGAAATGGCTTCATATGAAGTCTCCCTACTTCTAGATTCCTTCCCAAACAATAGCTCTAGGCTAATTTGAATGACCAGCACTCAACCACATTGGGGTGGGGTGATAAGGAAACTGCCAGGGGATAAAGAAAACCCTCCCACAGCTGAGCAGACAGAATCTTGCAGAGCTGAGGTGGGGGGTGGAATCCAGGGCTCTCTTTCCTCACTACAGCATTCACTTGAGTCACGACAGACTCAGGATATTTCACCCAGGAATGTCATTCCTCTCCACAAAGCCATGCTGGTTTCCACTATCACCCTGTTCTGCTCTAGCTACTGCACTGAATATGATCTTGGTGCAAACACATCTTGTTTACATAAGAGGATGTCAACACTGGGTGTTGCTCAGGAATCTCTGTGACAGGGATATGTCCCTTTGGAGGGAAAGCACATGCTCTAAAACATTAGAGTAGGCTTCAGAGCATAAGCCTTAGAGTGAGGAGCATATGCTGTAACTGACGGTGGTTTTGCAAGATTATAAAGATCTAAATTAAACCTTAGGAGTAAAGATTTTATTGGGAATCATCTAAGAACTATAATTCCCAGAGGGATGATAATCACACATTTCTACTTTCTCCCTAAGGTGTGAAGACAAGATCTTTGACTCTTCTCTGGAGGAGAGTCAAGATTCTGCCTGGTTTTCCCTTGAGGAACATTCTGGGCAAAAATCAGGTCACCTATTGGCATCACACAGTAACTATACAGATTATCATATGCCTCGGGCTTTGTGAACCTATGGGGGAGATATCACAATTTCAGTCACACAAATCTTTATAAAGTCTTTCAGTTTTATGAATCGATGCTACACTAGAGTTGTGACGTTCAGAAGGTTAGAGAGATTCCCCAAGGAATCTGCTCTGGCAAACCCGAGAAGGAATAGGCCCCCAAGCCACAGAGCATCTTTCTCTGAAATAAGGCATGATAGATGCAAATAAGCATCCTCATTAAGATTCAAATAATATGCCAAGTGCTAGATATGGATTATACATTTTAGCCTAATATGATACATATGTTATCACCTAATGGGGTATTTATTTTCAAATGAATAAATATTAAAGTTTTAAAGTTTTATTTTCAAAATAGTAAAAGCAAATATTAAAGTTTTATTTTCTTTCCCACCAACTCCCATTTATTTAGGTATTATTGACATACAAAAAATGTTTATATATAGATGGTATACAATGTAATGATTTGATATATATAAACATTGTGAAATGATCACCACAGTCAAGGTAATTAACATATTCAACATTTCAAATAAGCATCATCTTGTGTGTGTGTGTGTCTGTGTGTGTAAAACAAGAACTATTCTCAACAAATTTCAAGTATTCAAATAAATAATTATTAACTATCATTACAGTGCTATACATTTCATCCCAACTTATTCTTTTAATAACTTAAAAGTTTGTATCCTTGGATCTCACACTAGCCCATGACATTCATAGTTACACTCTGCTTCCATTATTTTAGCTAGAGACTTGCCATACTCTTGGAAAGTTGAATGTTCCTTTGGTATTATTTGGTAGATGTATTTTTTGTGTGCCTAGGAGCACTATTACCATTGATTTATATGGAAAATTTTTGAGTATATATTTGTATGAACAATATACATATTTATATGCACACACTTTCTTTTTCTTATCCATTCATCCATCTTTGGACATTTAGGTTATGTCCATATTTTGCCTCTTTCTAGTAATGCCACAATAAACATGGGAGGGGAAATATCTCTATGAGATATAGACTTCACCTCTTTTGATATATATATATATATATATATAATCATATATACATTCACACTATATGTTTTTATGGGTTTTATGGTAGCTCTACTTTTTTTTTCAATGAACTTCCATAAAGTTTCCATAATTGTGGTACCAATTTACATGCCAACTACAATGTTCAAGGATTCCCTTGCTCCACACACCATGGAATACACTAGTCATCTGTGACTTTTTGATAACAGCCATCCTAAAGGTGTGAGGTGGTATTTCACTGTGGTTTAGATTTCCCTTACGAGTACTGAGGTTAGCACCATTCCATACACCTGCTGGCCACTTACACGTATTCTTGATAAAAATGTCTTTTCAGTCCTTTGCCCTATTTTAAATCAAGTTGTCAGTTTTATGTTGTGAGTAGCACATGTTCATTAAATATTCCGGATATTAGTCTCTCTCATCAGATGTGATTTATAACTTGCTCCTATCCTGAGGTTACTTTCACTCACGTGATTTTTTTTTTTTTTTGAGATGAAGAACTTTGGAGTTTGAATTTTTTCCTAATTAACACATCTTCATTTCTCCAAGGTGGTTTTGCACATTCCGCTTGTGCCTTAGATTTGTCAATGATTCTTTGTGGTTTCTATGATTTTGTGAACTTTAGTTGACAAGATTTTGAACAGACATTTTTCAATCTCTATCAGTTGGCTTAATAAAGTAGAAGACTTCAAAAATCAGCCCTGCTAGAGATTTGGGGTGATCTCCCAACATTTAATGGGGAAGCAGCTCCTGAGCACGTGCAGTATTTTCTCAGTATAAGGTTTTCCTGCTTCATCTCTGTAGCTTGTGAACACTAGCTCCCCTTGGTGTTGTCTAATATGAATTTATCTTCAGAGCTACCAAACCTGGATGCTCACTTTTCCTAGTCAGTCACCCCAACCTGTCATCTACACTGCCACGCTCATCTGTCCTATTAATCAGGCAAGTCTGAAAACATTGCTCATTCCATCTCCTGAAAACCCAGAAAGATGTAGACATCACCTACTCTTCTTTTTGACCTTTGAGGAAGATGGGAATGTCATCCTGATCAAGGCACACCGAGAAGAGCAGGCAGGTAAAGTGGCAGCATTTGCACACGCACTTCACTGTCTCTCTTGGCTTTGCTATTGCCTGGGGTGCTGTAAACTGGTCTCTGATGTTCCAACAAAGTCAATCTGGTCTATACATTGTCTCCATAAAGGAATAAGGAATGAGGGATTCCTATTCAGCCATCTGGCTGATGATATTTTTGGATCCCATTTTAGGGGATTTTCTTGTGTTTCATTGCACAAGTGAACACATCTGTGAGAAAAATGCATAAATTTAACCCTCTTTTACAGTGCCCTCTTTCTCTGCAATGCTCTGTTGAAGGCAGCCTTCATTTGAGCGTTCCTCAGACTGTAGATAAGGGGGTTCAACAATGGGTTGAAGAGGGTGTAAAACAGGGAAAGGACTTTCTTCTGCTCATCTCGGTGGCCATTGTCTGGGATTACGTACACCATGATGGCAATGCCAAAGTAGAAGCCAACCACACAGAGGTGGGAGGAGCAGGTGGAGAAGGCCTTTCTGCGGCCCTCCTTTGACTTCATCTTCAGGATGGCCAAGAGGATTCGCACGTAGGAGACCACTATAAAGGAAACAGGGCCCACTAAAAAGAGCACACCACCTCCAAAGAGCATCATTTTGTTGACCCAAGTGTCCTCATAGGCCACTTTGAGGACAGCTAGGATTTCACAGAAGAAGCTGTTTACCTTTTTGGTTCCACAGTACGGCAATTTCAGAAAGAGCACTAGATCTCCTAAGGCCAACAAAATGCCACAAGCCCAGGAAGTGATGGCCAGCACCATGCACAGTCTCCAGCTCATAATGACCGTGTAGTGGAGAGGATAGCAGATGGCCACGTACCTGTCATAGGACATCACCACCAAAATCACAGCCTCTGTTACACCGAAAGCCAAGTACAAAAATATCTGCATAGCGCACGTGACAAATGAGATAGTTTTTTTGTGTTTCATTAGGTTTTCCAGCAGTTTGGGCAAATTGCTAGAGGCATAGGACATGTCAATGACAGCCAGATGAGAGAGGAAGAAGTACATGGGGGTATGCAGTCTCACATCCAGCCAGATGAGCCCCAAGATCATGCTATTTGCCAGCAGGTTGGAGACATACAGGAGGGAGAAGACACAGCAGAGAAGCACTTCCATGTCTGCACTGAGTGGGAATCCCTCCAGGATGAATTCTGGGACCCCTGACTGGTTGTCCCCCATCCTTAATGGTAGTTGGTCCCAGTCTGAAATGTGATAGAAAGGCCAGGTCTGCAGGTCAATGAAAACTGGAGGTAATTATCTTAAGATGGGCTCAGAAGAAGCCATGTGCTTATTCCCAGAAGACTGTGTTTATTTCCCAATGTTTCTTCTGGTTTTGTTCCTTTTTTTATTATGAAATAATTAAGCAGATATATGTCAATATTTATAAACAATACTATTACATTTACATTATATATGACAGAATATACTTTTTTTCAGCCTTGTTTTACCATTTGTCTAATATATATATGATTTTTTAATGGACCACATAAATATAAATTTTTGTCTGGACCACATAATTGCAACCATGCTTCCAATTAATCTCTTATATTTATTAGTTTCTTACATGGAGATTCTCAGTTAACTCTATTACATTAATACCTATATACACCACCATCCTCCTCATCCTCATTACCACTGTCTCTTCATAGAAGCAAACAGGAAAAAAAAACACAAAACATATTATCACTGGAAAACAAACAAATACCCAGACAGAAAGTCTAATTTAGCAAGCATGAGTATTTAATCTAAGGTTGACCTTTCCTATACAATTGTCCCTCTTTAGTGTGTTAACGTTCATCATTCTGACTCTCACATTTTTATATAATTTAGTCAGACCTGCTAAAAAGTGCATTTCCTTTGGTTCATCATATTAAACACAAAGGAAAAAGCAAGAATATTTAATAGAAAGTGAGACTCATAAAGCTTAAGGATCATCTGATTACAATATAAGTAGCTCCTTGTTTGCTAGGTTAGATCTTTCTAGGTCTACGTAAAACCTTGGGATCTACCCTCTATATTGAGGGAGCTGATTACAATTTAATGTAACATTTGCCTATATTACTTACTGTGCAGGATCTGAATGCTTCCACATTCGGATGCAGACTAGTCCTGCCCCTATGAAAACAGTATGGAGATTCCTCAAAATATTAAAAATTAAATAATTTTAAAAAAATTAATAAGAAATGGAAAAGAATGATATGAGAAATATAATCAATGAACTGAAGAATGAAATTGAGCCCTTAAGGAAGGAGATGCAGGAGATTAAAAGATTAATGGAGGAGCTAAAGATTCTGGGAAAAGCAATGAAAACACAATTGATGAAATCGAAGAACTAATCAGTACTCTTTTTTTTTTTTTTAATAGAGGCATGTTTTATTTATTTATTTTATTTATTTGTTTGTTTATACAAGCACTGGGTACAGTCAGAAGCGCGGGAGGGTGAGAGAATTCACCAGAGTAGGGAGCAGAGCAGGCAGAAGGACCGAAGTACACTGCTGAGGGGAGCAGCGGGCGGCAGGAGAGGTCTGCGTGCCATGTGGGACCCTCCTCCGGTGGCCGGGGGAGCAGCCGGGGATCGAACCGGCGCAGCAGATGTTGCGGGCAGCTTCGCAACCCAGCGCTCAACCGCTGCGCCACCGGGGAGGCCCAACTAATCAGTACTCTTGAAGATACAGAAATAAAAAGAACCAGAAAAGAGAAGTACAAAAGAAAAAGAATGAAGAACACTTCAAGAATTATCCAACACCTTGAGGAAAGGAAATATAAGAGTTATGGGAATCCCAGAAGGTGAAGAGAGAGACCAAGGAACCAAGAAACTATTCAAGGAGATAATTGAAGGGAACTTCCCAAGCATGAAGGAGATGAAAATAGACATACCAGAAGCAAGAAGTACACCAAATTACCACAATGAAAGAAAAACTACAGCAAGACATGTAATAGTGAAACTTTCAAGAGTCCAAGGCAAGGAAAAAATAGTGAAGCTGATGAGGGGGACAAAAGATAATCTATAAAGGAAAACCAATCAGACTGACATCAGACTTTTCCAAAGAAACACTATGGGCAAGAAGAGAATGGAGTGACAAATTCAACAAACTCCAACAAATGCCAACCAAGAACACTTTACCCAGAAAAGCTCTCCTTCCACTGTAAAGGAAAAATAAGGACCTTCTCAGATAAACAGAATACCCATAAATTCATTACTACTAAACCCCCACTCCAGAAAATACTACAGGAAGTCTTAAAGCCAAAACCAACAGAGGAATGAATAAGAAGAAAAGAACAAGGCAAGGAATAAAATCACAAAAAGACACAAAACAGAATAAACTCAGCAATGAAAAGACCCAGAGTAGCAGACACACAGTAGCAAAACAAAGTCCAAACTTCATCTGTCTCCAGGAAACACATCTAACTACAAAAGAAAAATATAGACTGAAAGCAATCCTAACAGACATCTATAGAACAATAATACACCCCAAAAAATTCAAATGCACATTTTTCTCAAGTGCACATGGATCATTCTCCAGAATTGATCACATACTGGGCCACAAGACAAATATCAACAAATACATTAAGATCAAAATTATTCCAACTATCTTCTCTGATCATAAAGGTATCAAACAAGAAATAAACCATGAAAAGAAAACAAGGAACCCTCCCACTTCATGGAGATTGAAATCTATACCACTGGAAGAACATTGGATTAAAAAGGAAATCAAAGAAGAAATTAAAAAATACTTTGAGTTGAACAACAGTGAGGATACCACTTTCCAGAATGTATGGGACATGCAAAAGCCGTAATAAGAGGAAAGTATATAGCAATACAGGCTCACATCAAGAAATAAGAAAATGGGGCCTCCCTGGTGGTGCAGGGTTACAGACAGCACTATCAACTATCGCCAGCCACTGCAGCATGAGTTCAATTCATTGCCAAGTTTGATTCCCAGCCAGCCAGGGAGCAACCCACATGGCACAGCAGACCTCTCCTGCCTCACCCGCTGCTCTCGTCAGCAGTGTATTTCAGTCTGCCTGTTCTGCACTCTGGTGAAAACTCTCACCCCCAGCATCTCTGGCTTGCACCCCATCTCTTGTATGCATAAATATTTTTTTAAAAGAAACAAGAAAGAGCTCAAAGAAACAACCTAATCTCCCATCTCAAAGAACTAGGAAAAAAAAATCCCAAAAACCAGCGGAAGAAAGGAAATAATAAAAAACAAAGCAGAAATACATGAAATAGAAATTTGAAAAAACAATTCAAAAGATCAACAAAACCAAAAGCTGGTTCTTCAAAAAATTAAACAAAATAGACAAACAGGCTCACAAAGGCAGACTCACAAAGAAAAAAATGGGAGAAAACAAATAAATAGGATAATAAATGAAAGAAGAGAAATTACAACAGACTCAGTAGAAATCAAAAGAATAATTAGAGTACTACGAACATTTATATGCAAACCAGTTCAACAATCTAGGAGAGATGGACAAATCCCTAGAATGATATAATCATCCAACACTAGATAAAGAAGAAAGAACACCTCAACAGACCAATTACAAGCAGTGAAACTGAAACAGTAACAAAACACTCCCCAAAAACAAAAGCCCAGGCCCAGAAGTCTTCACAAATGTGTTCTACCAAATGTTCAGAAATGAATTAGTGCCTTTACTACACAAACTCTTCCAAAAAATTGAGAAAGAAGGAATACTATCAATATGTTCCACGAAGCCAACATTACACTAATACCAAAACCAAACAAGGACAACACAAAAAAAGAAAACTACAGGGCAATCTCCCTAATGAACACTGATGCAAAAATCCTCCATAAATTCCTCAGCAACAGAATCCAACAATGCATCAAAGGGATAATACGCCACAATCGAGTGGGATTTATTCCAGGGGCACAAGGATGGTTCAACATCCAAAAATCAATTCATGTAACCCAACACATCAACAAAAAGAAAACTAAAGACAATATTATCCTATCAATAGATGCTGAGAAAGCATCTGACAAAGTTCAACATCCATTTATGATGAAGGCCCTTGAAATTCTTGGGGTTGAAGGCACATAACATGATAAAAGCCATATATGACAAACCCTTAGCCCATATCATTCTCAATAGTGATAGGTTGAGAGTCTTCCCTTTACGATCAGGAACAAGACAAGGATGTACACGCTTGCCACTGCTTTGCAATATAATACTGGAGGTCCCAGCCAGAGCAATAAGAAGAGAGAAAGACATACAAGGAGTATCAATACGGAAAGACAAAGTTAAACAATCACTATTTGCAGACAACATAATACACAGAGAGAACCCTAAAAACTCCATGAAAAAGCTAATCAAAATAATCAACCAGTTTAGTAAAATAGCAGGATACAAAGGAATCCTGAAGACGAAGTTGACAGCATTTTTTTTTTTCACTTTTGCAAAATACCAGGCCAAAGGCAGCAGGAATGGACATTACGTGGGTAACATAAGTTCCGCTACAGGTACAGAATCTGTGTTACGGTTTAGTGCATAGTAGGGATAGTCACATCTCGACAATAGGTTTGTTATTTTAGTGTTTGAATTAATAATCCTTTTGGGCTTCATCTCCATTATCAAAATTTTCAATTCACTTTACATATAGTTTCAAGTAATACCGATGGCATATTTAAATCTCTTAAGTAAAATGCAGCACTGAGGTAGAGAAGACAATTTGATGATGCCTACAAAAAATTTCCTTTCCTCCAAAGAATCCAAAAGTAAGTTGCAGCCCAGAAATCAAAGGTTTGAGTGTCCACGTGTGGAGCTCTGCACCCTGGCAGTGCTGACTGGGGAGCACAAGCTACTTCTCCAGCTTCAGTTGATGGTGTCAACTCCCCTCCTTCCTAATAGGGTGCAAGAACAAATACTCCTACCAAATACTAATATGAGTCTAGTAACATCAAGTTGGGAGATACCCTAAAAATGTTTCAATTAAAAAGAACCCTGGTACACTTACCTCTACCCCTGTTTCATGAAATTCAGGAAAATACTTGAGTTGCTACAAGGACTTCCTTATCTGAAGTCTCAGAGGTTTCTCTGAATATGTTTATTTAGGCAAGGGATGTAGAAAGGTCTTTTATTCTTTTGGTTAAATCAGAACCCTATAAGCAGCAAATCCTGGCTGTACATATTTTAATACTCACAGGCCCTTCTCGCTCAATAGAGCTGTGCCCGCTTAGACAGACACCACTCATCCTTGTTGGGAATCCTTGATGGTGAAGAAGATGCTGAGATATCAGAAACTCCCTTCAGAGCACATGGGTTGGAATGCCTGGTCTTAGACCAGGGGCAGGAGGCACCTAGATTTCTATCCTGTCTGCCTTGAGTACAGATAATAGAAAAGTAGCTACATGTCATTTCTCTTCCATGGCTACATTGCTACCTACTGCCAGTGTCTCGTACTGCAGGACCTGGACTGAGAACCCCCTCTCAGTACAGTGAGTCTCTTCTGCAGAAGAAGGCAAACACACCGGATATGTTCACTCTACTCTCATCTAGGATAAACCCCACAGAGGTGAACTAAACACCATAAGAAAATGTAGTAAATTCCAGAAAAATAGATCCCCATTTTAGGCTCTTTTATTTCATTGCTAATGGTATTGCAACAGAACATTAAGCTCTTAATTAACCTCCCAGCCATAAATGTTTTATTTAGAATCACCAGAGAATTCAAATGGCCAGAGGGAACAGGAGACATCCTACATCTCCATTCCTCCCTAAGGCAGGGAAAAAACACATCCCTGAAGCTTCTCTCTGGAGAAGAGCAAAGATTTTATCTGATTGTCCCTGCAAGAAAGTTCCAGGGAAAAGGCTGGGCACATGCTCACATCACACGCCACATACACAGATTTTCAACTGTCTCAACAGTGAGAACACCTGAGGGAGATGTCAGAAATTACAGTATGCAAGTCCTAAAATGGTTGGTTTCATCAGCTCATGCTCCTCCTTGTACCCCTGAAGGCATATGAGAGGCTGGGGCTTTGTGGTTCTTGAAAGCGTCCATGAAACTGTTAAGCAGACCTGGCAGGCACAGTCCCCAGCTGGCATCAGGCAATTACCAGGCCAGAGGCCAGGACAGAGATAGGGACCATGCTGGAGGGAGACAGGTGTTATTTAAATACACTGGGGGCACTAACACTTGCAGATCAGAATCCTGGAAAGGGAAGACTGACTGCAGCAGGGCGTGATGCACACAGATAAGGGAGGAATATAAACCATATGTGATTTGTTTTCTATTTATGAATCACATCAAGTGTCAAGTGTTTCACATGGAACAGGCATTGTTCACCTCCTCACTACCCTCATGAATAGCCTTGGTAGCTAAAGTTTAAATAACTGAGCAACCGTTATACCCTGCAGGTATAAGAACTCCTCCACCCATGGCCACTCAGGCAGACAAATGAAGTGCTTCCTGGGTCTGTGTTCCCTGAGCTTTGTTCTACTTACCCACCCCTCCAAACATGCATCTCAGTGCAGATCTTGTTGGGTGTGATGTAGTCAGACATCATAGATGTACCTGAATTTTCACATCCATTCTTTTCCCAAATTTGGAAAGATTTTGATCATTACTTTTTCTGGTATGTTCTATTTCCCTCTTTGCTTCTCTTTCTGAAACTCCCATGATACATGTATTGCTCCACTAGAAGGTGTGACTTATGTACAGTAGGTTTTATTTACTTTTCTTTTTTACTGCTGTGTTTCAGTGTTCCCAAAAGACCTGTATTAGAGTTCACTGGTACTTACTACTTCTAGACCCAGTTTGCCTTGATCCCTTCTGGTGAATATTTCAATATGCTTTCTGTGTTCTTCAGTTCCAGAATTTTTTGGTCCTTTTTTTTTTTTACAAATTACGTTCCATTGTGTATTTTCATGTTCATTACATGCGACTTTGTTCACGTAACTTTGCTGTCTCTATGAGTTCCCTTTGAACTCGAGGAGCAAATTCAGGATGATTATTTTGAACTATGCAGTAATTAAAAAATCTTCATTACTTTGAGGTGGTTTGGGATATTCATTTTGTGCCTTAGATTGTTTGATGTTTCCCTGTGAATTTGTTTGCCTTGGTGAACTTTAGTTGAGAGTCAAGATTTAGGGAAAACAGTTAGCTTCCAATCTTTACCAACCACTTTAAATAAAACAGAAGAAATCAAAAATCAAATAGAGATTGGGGGAATGTCACCAAACTTTTATGGGAAAGAGTTTCTCTGAGCATGTGCAGTGTTTTCTCATTAAAGTGTTTCTCATTGAAGTGTTTTCTCATTAAAGTGTTTCCTGCTTCTTCTCTGCAGCTTGTGAACACTAGCTCCCCTTGGTGTTGTCTAATATGAATTAATCTTCAAAGCTACCAAACCTGGATGCTCACTTTTCCTAGTCAGTCATCCCAACCTATTAATCAGGCTCATCTGTCCTATTAATCAGGCAAGACTGAAAAAATTGCTCATTCCATCTCCTGAAAACCCAGAAAGCTGTAGGCATCACCTACTCTTCTCTTTGACCCTTGAGGAAGATGGGAATATCATCCTGAGCAAGCCACACCAGACAAGGGCAGGCAGGTAAAGTGGCAGCATTCAAGCATGCACTTCACTTCTTTCTTGGCTTTGCTTTTGCCTGGGGTGCTGTAAACTGGACTCTGATGTTCTAACAAAGTCAATCTGGTCTATATATTGTCTCCATAAAGGAATAAGAGCTGAGGGATTCCTATTCAGCCATCTGGCTAATATTCTTAAATAATTCTCATTCTTTAATCATATCATTTTAAGGGATTTCCTTGTGTTTCATTGCACAAGTGAACACATCTGTGAGAAAAATGCATAAATTTAACCCTCTTTTACAGTGCCCTTTTTCTGCACTGCTCTGTTGAAGGCAGCCTTCACTTGAGCATTTCTCAGACTGTAGATGAGGGGGTTCAACAATGGGTTGAAGAGGGTGTAAAACAGGGAAAGGATTTTCTTCTGCTCGTCTCGGTGGCCATTGTCTGGGACCACGTACACCATGATGGCAATGCCAAAGTAGAACCCAACCACACAGAGGTGGGAGGAGCAGGTGGAGAAGGCCTTTCTGCGACCCTCCTTTGACTTGATCTTCAGGATGGCCAAGAGGATGCGCACGTAGGACACCACTATCAAAGAAACAGGGACCACTAAAAAGACCACACCACCAGCGAAGAGGAAAATTTTGTTTAACCAAGTGACCCCACAGGCCACTTTGAGGACAGCTAGGATTTCACAGAAGAAGCTGTTTACCTCTGTGGGCCCACAGTATGGCAATCTCAGAAAGAGCACTAAATGTCCTAATGCCAATAAAATGCCACAAGTCCAGGAGGTGATGGCCAGCACTATGCACAGTCTCCAGCTCATGATGACGGTGTAGTGGAGAGGATGGCAGATGGCCACGTACCTGTCATACGACATCACCAGCAAAATCATGCACTCAGTGCAGGCAAAATCTAAGTACAAATACATCTGCAAAGCACACATGATAAATGAGATTGTTTTTTTGTGTTTCACTAGATTTTCCAGCAATTTGGGCAAATTGCTGGAAGCATAGAATATATCAATGACAGCCAGATGAGAAAGGAAGAAGTACATGGGAGTGTGTAGTCTGACGTCCAGCCAGATGAGCCCCAAGATCATGCCATTTGCCAGCAGGTTGGAGATATACAGCAGGGAGAAGACACAGAAGAGGAACACTTCCATGTCTACACTGAGCGGGAATCCCTCCAGGATGAATTCTGGGACCCCTGACTGGTTGTCCCACATCCTTAATGATGGTTGGTCCCAGACTGAAATGTGATAGAAAGGCCAGATCTGCAGGTCAATGAAAACTGGAGTTAATTATCTTAAGATGGGCTCAGAAGAAGCCATGTGCTTATTCCCAGAAGACTGTGTTTATTTCCCAATGTTTTTTCTCATTTTGTTCCTTTTCTTTTATTATGAAATAATTAAGCTTTCAGATATATATATCAATATTTATAAACAATACTATTTTACATTTAAATTATATATGACAGAATATACATTTTTCAGCCTTGCTTTAACATTTGTCTAATATGTATGATTTTTTTAATGGACCACATAAATACAAATTTTTTTCTGGACCACTTAATCTCTAAACTTTTTATTACTTTTGTCAAAAAGCAAGGGTATTCCTATGTATTCTCAGCATTACCAAAATTAGGAAATGTAACATTAACATTATTCATTATTCTAAATGCAGCAATTTGCACCCTTGTGGTTCAATATTAATCCAATTTCATATATTTTATCTCCTCTAAGCTGACATAGCATTTCTTTGCCATTGATACAGCATTCATAACTTGAAGAGTACAAAATAGTTGTTTTAACATCACCTGCAATCAGGGAAAACATGAATTTCAATAGAAGTCATAGAGATAATACTATGAAGTATATGGTTGATGGTGATTGCTATCAATAATATGTATATATAGCCTTTCAATATTTATTATACATATATTTTAATATACAGTAATAAAATTTAATATACAGTAATAAAATAAAATGGTATTTTCATTTATTTCATTTAGAATCATACCATGCATATTATTATATCAACATATTTCACAACATACTTCAATAGTGCATGCTATTAATTTGTATACTAAGATGTTGATTTAGTATAATACCTTTACCCTAGGTTATAGACATACAATGGTATAGAAGTAAAATCTTATGCATTTATTTTTGTGTATCCTTTATTATTTTATTTTAGTAAATTCTTACATGAAAGTTGCCACTTTATTATATATATATAACTATATATATATGTATATATATATAGTTATATATTATGTGTAGGCATCTCCACCACCTTCATCCTCAACTTCATCACCTTGTGTCTTCATAAAAGCAAACAGGAAAAATATCAAAACATATCACTGTGGGAAAAACATCACCCAGACAGAGTCTCTAATTTAGCAAGCATGAGTCTGTAATCTGAGATTGTTCTTTCTAACACTTTAGTACATTAACTTTTATCATTCCGACTCTCACATTTTTATACAATTTGGTCAAATCTGTTAAAAACTGCATGTCTGGTGGTTCATCATAGCAAATACCAAGAAAGAACAAGAATTTTTAGTGGAAAGTAAGGCTCACAAAACTTCAGACTCATTTGATTATAATGTTAAGTAACTTTGTTTGCTACAATAAATGTATATTGTTCCACTTATAACCTTGAGTTTTCTATGCCCTATACTGAAGAGCTGATTACAATTTAATGCCACATTTGACTGTATTTCTTACTGCACAGGATCCAAATGCTTACACATAAGGGATATATAAACTGGTCCTGCCCCTATGAAAAACAGTATGGAGATTCCTCAAAATATTAAAAATAGTCTACCTTATGATCCAGCAATTCCAGTCCTAGGTAACTACCCAATGTATGCAAAAGCACTAGTACAAAGGGATGTATGCACTCCTATCTTCGTTACACCAAAATTTACAATAGATAGGTTAAGGAAACAACCTAAGTGCCCAAGGACAAATGAGTAGATTAGCAAGATGTGATATAATACAAAATGGACTACTACACAGCTATCAAAAAGATGAATTCTTGCCATTTGTGACAATGGGTTGGAAATGGAGGGGATTATGCTAAAATAAGTCAGAAGGAGAAAGGCAATTACTGGATGGTGTCACTTACCTGTAGTATCAAGAGAAACAAAACGAAATGTCAGATAAAGCCAGAAAAATAACAAACTCTAGTAATCCAACTGTAGACTTGAGGCTACCAGAGAGGGAGGAAGAGGGGGAAGTGCAAGGTGGGGAGGAGGCACAGAGGACTGTGGTGAACTCTGGCCGCCTTGGTGGTGGATATGGCGGTGACAAGCATCTGAGAAGGTGTGATCCAATACTTGCAATCACAAGGGCGTGAGAAAGCAATATATAACTTCAGTACAACAAAAAATGTTTCCATGCAAAAGTAGCTATTCTAGCACCTACAGTTCAGATTTCGAATAAGAGGGTTTTTTGTTTAACAAATTGTATTAATGTATCATTGAGATAATGAGTTGCACATAGTTAATATAGGAAGCTGATGAGTGTGCAGATAAGTATACACCTGGGCAAACCCAACATAATCTATTTCATAAACATCTCCATCATCTCCAATGTTTCTGTCACCAAGAAGGTCTTTTTCTACTCTAGGCAACAGGAGGAGATGAATGTCAGGAGCTCTTTCAGGCACAAATTACATAAACAGGCCTGGACAACACCATAGTCTGTGAAGATCTGTGAGATTCTCAAGATAAAATCAGAGATGACTTGGTTTTGATACCAACTGTCATGTCTTTCAATTAAAATAATTTTGCGAACCAGTGGGCAATATTTTGTGAGTGGGTGATAAACATATTTGTTTCCTATAATAGAATTCTATAATATTCTATAAGATTACAGTTATTCATTGTGTGAATTCAATTTTCTCTGTTATCTGTCTATAAACATCTTCTGCTATCAGTTTCTATCTACCGAGCCAATTTGAATTTTACATTCCTAGGAAAAATTCCACAATTAAGGATTATTCATTTGAAAGTGCTTTCTTACCAAAACAATATTACAAGTCCATGTACTTTAAATACAGGGTTTCTATAGGATACACATGAGAAAACTGTAAAATACGGCCCATATTTACTGTACTGAAAATGGCAACACAAAAATGAATTAATGTCTTATACGGCTTAATGTCTGTGCCTGCTTTGAAGTGAGGCTGATAAGAGAGTCTCAAGGAAAATGATTTTCTCTTGAATATTTTATAGGAAAGTGAAATAAGAAGGAATCTTGAAGACAAAGGTAACGGCATTTTTTTACTTTTGGAAAATACCAGGCTAAAGGCAGCGTCAGTTAAGAGGGTCGTGGTTCTTAGGAACTATGACCCAGACATGTGGGAGCAGACCTAGATCCCTGTGTTTCTGTAAGCACGGCTGTATGTGGCAGGCCTCACAGGAATGGACATTACATGGGTAACATAAGTCCCGCTGCAGGTACAGAATCTGTTATGGTTTGGTGCAGAGTGGGGAGAGTCACATCTCAACTATAGGTTGGTTATTGTAGCTTCTGAATTAATAAACCTTTTGGTCCTCATCTCCATTATCAAAACTTTCAATTCACTCTATACATAGTTTCAAGTAATACTGATGACAGATTAAATCTCTTAGGTAAAATGCTGCCCTGAGATAGAGAAGACAATTTGATGATGCTTACAAAAATTTTCTTTCCCCCAAAGAAGCCATAAAATAAATAGCAACCCAGAAATCAAAGGTTTGAGTGTCCACGTGTGGAGCTCTGCATCCCGGCCATGCTGACTGGGGAGCACAAGCTACTTCTCCACCTTCAGTAGATGCTGTCAACCCCCTTCCATCCTATTATGATACAAGGATAAATATGCCTATCAAATACTAATACCAGATTCTAATAATAATAAAGATTGGGAGATACCCTAAAAATGTTTTCAATCAAAAAGAACCCTGGTACACTTACCTCTACCCCTGTTTCATGAATTTCAGGAAAATACTTGAGTTGCTACAAGGATTTCCTTGTCTGAAGTCTCAGAGGTGTCTCTGACTGAATATGTTTATTTAGGCAAGTGATGTAGAAAGGTCTTTTATTCTTTTGGTTAAATCAGAACCCTGTAAGCGGCAAGTCCTGGCTATACATATTTAATACCCATAGGCCCTTCTCCCTCAGTAGAGCTGTGCCCGCTTAGACAGACACCACTCATCCTTGTTGGGAATCCTTGATGGCGAGGAAGATGCTGAGATATCAGAAACTCCCTTCCCAGCACACGGGTTGGAAGGTCTTAGACCAGGGGCAGGTGGCATCTAGACTTCTGTCCTGTCTGCCTGGAGCACAGATATTAGGTTAGTCACTACAATGTCATTCCTCTTTGCATGGCCAAGTTGCAACCTGCTGCCAGTGTCTCATACTGCAGGACCTGGACAGAGAACCCCCTCTTAGTGCCAGTGAATCTCTTCTGCAGAAGAGGACACACACGGGATATGTTCACTCTACTCTCATCTAGGATAAACCCCACAGAGGTGAACTAAACACCATAAGAAAACATACTAAATTCCAGAAAAATAGATCCCCATTTTAGGCTCTTTTATTTCCTTGCTAATGGTTTTGCAACAGAACATTAAGCTCTTAATTAACCTCCCAGCCATTAATGTTTTATTTAGAATCACCAGAGAATTCAAATGGCCAGAGGGAACAGGAGACATCCTACATCTCCATTCCTCCCTAAGGCAGGAAAAAAAAACACGTCCCTGAAGCTTCTCTCTGGAGAAGAGCAAAGATTTCATTTGATTGTCCCTGCAAGAAAGTTCTAGGGAAAAGGCTGGGCACATGTTCCTAGGAAACACACTCCACATACAGATTTTCAACTGTCTCAACAGTGAGAACACCTGAGGGAGATGTCAGAAATTACAGTATGCAAGTCCTAAAATGGTTGGTTTCATCAGCTTGTGCTCCTCCTCGTACCGCCTGAAGGCGTATGAGAGGCTGGGGCTTTGTGGTTCTTGAAAGCACCCAGGAACCTGTGAGGCAGATCTGGCAGGCACAGTCCCCAGCTGGCATCAGGCAATTACCAGGCTGAGGCCAGGACGAGATAGGGACCGTGCCGGAGGGAGACAGGTGTTATTTAAATACACTGGGGGCACTAACACTTGCAGATCAGAATCCTGGAAAGGGAAGACTGACTGCAGCAGGGCGTGATGCACACAGATAAGGGAGGAATATAAACCATACGTGATCATTTGTTTCCTATTTATGAATCACATCAAGTGTCAAGTGTTTCACATGGAACAGGCATTGTTCACCTCCTCGCTACCCTCATGAATAGCCGTGGAACTAAACTTTAAATATACTAAGGCAAACATTTCCCTAATCATTAATTCATGGACCCTTGAAATCTTCTGAAATTGTTTATGTGATTGAAATTACTTTCACAGTATATTATTATTATTATGTTCCCCCTAGCATTCACACTCATGAGGGTGCAATGGCGTTTCCAAAAGCTCCATATTTTTTGGCAACAGCTTGAATACAGAAGCAAATGTAAAAAACTAGTTGTCCTCTTTGATAAACATGAGTGAATTTTATATAAAATGTGAAATAATGCTTCATTTTCACTTTTTTGTTTTATAAGAGACTGCTGCTTTTAATAAATGTTATATATTAATTTGATAATTCTTGAAATGAATTATATGTTTTAAAATTATCTTTCACATAAGCCCAATTTCTTTGTGGCCAATGGATATTTGAAGTTGTAAATGGGGCCTCCCTGGTGGGGAGGTTGAGTGCTGGGTTGCGAAGCTGCCTCCAGCCTCTGCAGTGCCTGTTCGATCCCCGGCCACTGGATGAGGGTCCCACATGGTGCGCAGACCTCTCCTGCCACCCGCTGCTCTCTTCAGCAGTGTACTTTGGTCCTTTTGCCTGTTCTGCTCTCGCTCTGACTCTGGTGAATTCTCTCACCCTCCCGTGCTTCTGACTGTACCCAAGGCTTGTATAAATATATAAATATTTAAATAATAATAATAATAAATAAAATTGTAAATATATCCTGAAACCAAATTATTAAAGGCACCATTAGCATTTAAAATGTCTCCCTGATGGCACAAGGGGTTAAGAAGCAACCTATGAACCTGTCCGTAGCTGCTGCAGCACAAGTTCGAGCCCCAGCCAGGGAGGTGACCCACATGGTGCAGCAGACCTCTCCTGACTCGCCTGCTGCTCCCCTCAGCAGTGTATTTCATCAGTCTGCCTGCTCTGTTCCCCACTCTGTCTCTGGTGAATCCTCTCACCCTCCCCCGACACACACACACCTCTGGCCTGTACCCCAGCTCTTGTATCTTGTATGCATAAATAAATCTTTTTTTAAAAAGCAAAAGACAGATTTCAGATGGTTTCACTCATCTATGGAATATAAATACCCCCCAAAAACAATCATGTGCAAACAATAGAAGAAATAAAAATTTAACTTGGCAAAAAAAAAGAGAGAGAATGATTGCCAGAGAGAATGGGGTACAGGGTCCACGGGATAGGGAGGGAGGCAGATGGAGCATGGGCAGCAGTGACCTGGTGGAGGGAAACAAATGTGATGTACCTTTTTGGGTGGACAGCATGAAAAACATCAACTCACTGTGAGGCTCATTGTCGATTATGAGTAGATGATAACAATTGCATTGGCAGCTGCCAGGAGTTCATATCAACACAATGCCAAGCCTGGAGCATTCATAACCCAGACATTCCCTGGGTATGTTGCAACAGAAATGATTGTCTATGTCTCCCCCCCAAGACGATTATAACAAAATTCCTGGAGTAATTATTATAGCCAAGATTGGAGACAACACAAATATTCACAAAAAAGATTATGACTAAGTCCTGCCATTTATACAGTACAATGCAACAAAATCCAAGCTAATTAAACAGCCACACACAACCTGAGTGACTCTCACAAATGCAATATGAAAGTAGGACAGGAAAGAAGCACCCTCTACACACACAGATATGTGTACATATAGACCGAGACAGTGAAATGCTGACATGTGCTGTTAGAACCAGGGGAATAACTCCCTGCAGAAGGAGAGAAAAGCAATGGCTCTCAGATGCCGGAAATGTTTACTTCTCATCCCAGAACATGATAACATGGTAACATGAGTGCATCTACCATGTGAACTTTCACTGGGCTGAACTTGATGACTTGTACTTTTTGCATCTGAAATAAATTTTTCTTAGAAAGCCCCAGTCAGGCCAATTACCTTCCCGTCTCTCAATTCAGTTGCTTCTACCTGTCCCCTCCTCCAGCCACCACTTCTTGCTTGAACTAATATAGTCGCTTTTAAAACTAATTTCTCTGGTTCCAGCCTGGTCTCTTCAAATCCCCATTCTGCATAGTGCCAGAAGCTTTCAAGAAAAGGTCTGACTCCTTGGCATTTTCTCACTTAGAACCAACAGAGGCTTCACATTTCACAAAGGAGGTATTTCAAGATCCAGAGCCTGGAATATGAGTTTCTCCCTGTTTGTTTTCTCTCCAACCTTGCATCTCATCAATCCTTGCCTTTTATTTACAATTCCAACATTCTGAGCTATCTCTTGTTCCTCTCACACCATACATTCTTTTTGCCCCCTCTGTGTCTTTATTACTTCCTTGAAATGGATGGGACACCCCTTCCTGACAACCACATCCACTCCTTTGGTCAACTCTACTTACCTTTTTAAGACTGTCTCCTACTCCAGGAAGTCTTCCTTAACTGCTCCTACTTGGAGCGCTTAGACTTTATCTGGGCTACATTAGCACCTGTGCATATCTCCAAGATTAGCAGTATACAGCATTGTTACAATTTGTTGGTATATCTTGTTAGTCCATCTAACAAGTAATGTAATAGCAGGGAATGAGACTTTCTTATCTTTTCATTTCCAGGATCTAACATAGCACCGTGTGTGTGTGTGTGTGTGTGTGTGTGTGTGTGTAGCTTTCATATACATACATATGAGTTGTTTCAATTTTGAATTTTATTTATCCATGTACTTTTTAAATATTCATTATTTCTTTAGAAAATTGAAATTACAAAGGAAACACCTAAGTCAATTTCTTCGTGAATTATCTAAAATATTGGCATTTTATATCCGATGAAAGGCTAAATTTTGCAATATCCTTTCTAGTCGGGAGGAAATTTGATTTTCTGTTGTCTCACTTATGAGTCACAGTCCTTGTTCTATGAAGATGTGATAAAGACTCGTAGTGGATGTATGAATCATCACCATTTATTGAGCTCTTATTATGAATCATAGATTTATTAAGCATTTGCACATAGTACTTCCTCTTTACAACAAACTTGTAATCTAGTATTAATGAACTCATTTTACATGCAATAAATCTAAATCCCAAAGCCTGTAAATGAATTACAGAAGTCAGCACAAGTAGCAACTGACAGAACCTTGTAATATCCCAGCCTTATCTGAGTTCACAGCACAGGTGTTTTTAACCCTTTCTTAAGAGGTCATGGAGTAATGCCTGCAACACAGATATCCTTATAAAAGGGAGGCTTTGTAAGAGAAGAATCCATATATTTTCCCCTTCAAAACCACTTTTCACAAAAACAGCTTGCTTCAAAAATTGAATATCTCCTTTTTGCCCAGTTTAAGTATTTGGCAGATTTAATTTAGTATATACTTTGCAGAGTGTTGAGAAATAAAAAAGAAAATCTGCTTACATATCGTTCTCCACTACTTCTTAACTACCCCTTATAAGTGCTAGTTTCTTGCTAAAGCAATTATTTAATTTATCTCTGGTCTTTTAACTTAAAAATCAAACAATTCCTGATAACTTACTGCTCTAGCATCACTGATTAACTAGTTATCACAACAATTGCACTCTGTTCTTATTCACCAGAATGTTCTCTCCAAGTTTTGTCACTTCCCATAGGAGACAATCATCCAACTCAATGACAGAAAATATATCATTCTTTCCAGCTAGGACTCTCCCTTATCTCCATTCTCTTCCCCTTAATTCTCCATCCCATGGCTCTCCACCCACACCCCACAAACAAAGAAAAAAGATATGGCTGCATGTTTATTACTATGATATCATTTGTAGTTTTCTTATTCTTGTTAGTTACATCAGTTTCCTTCTTCATACCCTTCCTTGAAGCCATGGCTCATATTCTTTCCATTTTAAGTTGACTATGCCTTAAAAACATCACTAACTTAAGAATATGTAGGAATATATACAAACACTTGTAATGTAGAAATTATTACAGAAATTATTACTGAAGGAAAATATTAAATAACTACAATATTCTGCCAGCTTTTGGTTCTATCTTATGGAAATTTTGTCAACAGGTTGCAATTATAGAGCAAGAAAGGCACAAATTTCTCTTACTGAGAATATTTCACATAACCATTGTAAACTGAGTGCACACTATGCAGCTAGTCCATTTCCTTGTGCAGCACTGACCTCAGTGCAGAGGAAGGAAAGCAGAGTGGGCTTGCTCAGTAGGGAGTCACAGGAAGCTGATAAGCCCACCCTAGAGCATAGCTATGTCTCCTCTGTAGATGCTGCATGAGATGACGTTTTAGGTCCCCTTACACTTAGTCACTTTATTATTCTATAAGGCTCTCATGCCATTCTCTCTTTGTCAAGCAGCCTCTTCAGAGCAGCTTTAACTTCTTTGTTCCTGAGACTGTAGATCAAGGGGTTGAGCATGGGATTGAAAAGGCTGTGAAACAGCAAGAGATACTTCTTCTCCTCTTTGGGGTTCCCATGTCGGGGCCCAACATACATGATAATGGCTGTGCCATAAAAGAGGCCAACCACACAGAGGTGGGATGAGCAGGTAGAGAAGGCTTTCTGGCGTCCTTCCCCTGACTGAATCTTTAGGATGGCACAGAGGATGTGGACATAGGATACCACAATGGAGGAGAAGGGTCCCACAAGCACAGACACTGCCCCCGCCAGAACCATAGTCTCGTTAAGGTGCGTGTCTGCACAGGCGAGCTTGAGGACAGCTATAATTTCACAGAAGAAGTGATTAACTTCCCGGGGTCCACAGAAGGGCAACGGGAGGAGTAACACTAGATGGACCAGGGCCAGGAGGACGCCAATGGTCCAGGAGGTGACCGCCAGGGCGATGCACACTCTCCAGCTCATGATGACAGAGTAGCGGAGAGGGTGGCAGATGGCCACGTACCTGTCATAGGACATCACCACGAGGAGAAGACATTCAGTGTGAGCAAAACTCAAAAAGAGGAAGGTCTGTGTTACGCAGCCAGCAAAGGAGATGGGTCTGGCTGGGTCCAGGAGGTTCACCAGCATCTGGGGCACCGTGTTGCAGGCGTAGGCTATGTCGACGACGGCCAGGTGCGAGAGGAAGAAGTACATGGGGGTGTGCAGTCTGGAGTCCAGCGAGATGAGCCCCAGGATGACCCCGTTCCCCAGCAGGGTGAAGGCATAGAACAGGGAGAATATTCCAAAGAGAAGCATCTGAATCCTTGGGTCAATGGGAAACCCCAACAGGATGAACTCGGTAACCACTGTGTGATTTTCCCCCATCTCCCTGCGAAAGATGATGGAGGAACCACTGGCTGAGGGAAGTGTCTAACGTGTCATTATTTATTTATGAAAACAGCTGTAATGATATTTTTTGCCTGTTAGTCACTAAGTAAATCCCATGCATTTCAAAGGAAACAGAAGGACTTTTTTTTCACTGTGATCAGCTAAACGCTAGCACTCCATTACGGCGCTCCGTGACGGTTTAGGTTTATTTCCAAGCCTTAGGTTTATTTGGAATTAAATAAACAGCTACTGTTCAAAGTCTGTGAAGACTTAAATTGTCGTCATAGTGATGGACACTCCCTTGGGGCTGTGGTTATGGGATCGTGTGGGTGGCTCACTGGGCGTGCTCCCACACCCTGTGCACGTCTGTCATGAATGTGGGTACAGTCTACGCATCTGTCAATGAGTGGGGAGCAAGTGGGTGATCCTTTAATGGTTTTCTCACCATTTTGTGCCTTTGGTGTAAGAATTATTGGTCTTGAGATCTCCACTGATATATAATCCTGCATTAATTTGAAAGAGTGTCAAGCATTTTGCCTCAACTTTGGCTGGATTTAAAACAGAGACTTTGGTTACTGCAGATGGCCTCTTGTGATTGTGCCTGATGGTGAGGTTACCACTGTCACATCTCTTCTGCTCCGATGTATTTTGTAGTCTATTTACAGACACACACACACACACAAATATATGTATGTCTGTATTTATCTGTATTAAAGTTTCTCCAAATTTTCTGAACTATCAGCCAAGTTCATGTACACACGAGCATACACACACACACATATTTACACACATATATACACATATTTACACACATACACATATATACACATATATGTATATATACACATATTTACACACATATATACACATATTTACACACATACACATATATACACATATATGTATATATACACATATTTACACACATATATACACATATATACACATATCTATATACACATGTGTGTGTATATATGCACATATATGCAATATAGTTGTAATTTTCTATAACATTCCACTCTGTTTTAATAGTAAAAATTCTGGTTGAATGATTTCTTAATGGAGCATGGCCTGTCATTTAAAAATTACTGATCTCTATCCACATCTAGAGGCAAAGCTCTAATTATAAACTCATATCCACAGAAACTTTAATATATTTTATAGCTTCATAACTTGAATATAAAAATTATTAGTCATGAATTGTCAGGGTTTTTTGTAGCTTATTTGTCAAAGTTTTTGAAATCCTTGAATGGGAAGTCTGAAATTTGAGTCATTGTAATTTTAAAACCATGAGTTCTACTTTTTACCTGTTCCACTCTATTATTCTTTAGTTCAGAATCCATCTGTATTTCACTAAAATAAGAATCTCAGGAAAATTCATACTTGTGTTCCTCTCTCTCAGCTCCCTATTCAGACTTTCTGATAAGTTAATATTTAAAAGGCTTCATGAGCAAAAATATGAAAGATTTTGCCTTGCTTCAAAACAAAAATCAGAATTAATAGCTGAAGTCACTAGGAGGTGATATTATCTTAGTCCAAGAAATAACTTTATAACAATTAGGATCACACCTTGAAAACTGATTGTTTGTTAGGACTGAAATTTATATCACTAGGTGTTTAAAATCAAGGAGTGATTAACCAGGTACTCAAGATGGGATTCCTTTGTCATGTGAGAAGCTGAATTAAAAGAATGTTATGTTCCCTTCCTATTATAGGATTCATTGGCCCTACATAGAAAAGTGATAGCCATTTTCACTTGAAATTTCATGCAGTATTTGGGGTCAGTGATGACAGTCATGCTGTTTTTAAAATGTCTTATGATGAAGGCATGCAATCAACTAATGCAGAAGGACCAATTAGTGTCACAAATAGCTAAAACACAAAGCACAAAACCCACTGATGTTTTCTAAACATGTGCTAAGTTCCTCAGCAAGGATAGAGAGGACAGCTCCTCCCTGCTGGTTTATATTAACTGCCTAAAATGACGACACTGTCGAGAGGACTCACAAAGATGATAATCTTGTACAACAACACCAACAATTAAAGGGGTACCCCATCCCTGGTTTCAAATAAGGGCGCTAGCTGAAGAGTCAGACACAGCTGGACTAGCCATGTTTAGAAACTGCAGAGCAGCAACAAAGTTGTTTCCAAGCAAATCAGCAACTTCAAAAAAGGACAGATCAACGTTTACAGCATTGCTAAAACTCCCAGTTTCCAGAAAATAAGTCTCTAAATATGGTAAATTTTAACAATCCTGTTTTCCTCAATACATAGATGATATCAACTAGATACCTTAACTGGACACCTCCCCAGACTTTCTCAGTCAAAATCCTTGAAAAAGTAAAATATTTCACTTGCAGACTACAGAAAATTTTCCTTGCCAGTCTCAGAATTTGAACAGCTTTCCCAGAGCACCTGGAGGCTGTACCAGGCTAGAGTACACAGTGAATTCTTCCATAAATGCCCTTACTTATGTGTGGTTCAACTTATAAAAATAAACATTCTTAAATAACTCACCAAAGGAAGGTCACATTCAGAAATAAAACCTTCAGTACACGTTTATTCTGGAACAGACTCATTTTGTGGTCAATTAAGCCCATTATTTCATGAAAACTCTACTTAATTTCATGCGGCAACAAAGCTTTATAAACAAATCTCTCAAAGAACTGTTTTATCTTGAAATTTAAACAAGAAATGCAACACTACAGGCATTAGAGTAAATGTCCCATCTGAGGTTTATCTAGAAGAGATGACACCTTTTACATGACCCTATTAGCTAAGTCTACAGATATCAGAAAGTTGGCTTAACATTTTGCATTGTAATTTTTCATTACGACCCATCAGAAATTGCATAGTGAACATAGAATAGAATATCATGGATAGTAAAACACACTTACCTCAGACTTAGATCTAAAAATGAAAACACAGGTTAGATATGAGTTTGGGTGAAGCAAAATTATACACAATAAGTAAATAGTATGGAAATTCCTTCTTAGAAGGGTCTTCTTAGAAGAAAAAATGCCCCAATGGAGGCAACAGAGTTTCTCTTAGAATAGATTATTTTATTCTCTATTTTGCTGAGCTACTTTCACTATGTTTCTGAGTATTTGGTGCAAGGGAAGAGATAAACACCCAACACACACCACCATCTGCCACCTTCCAGGGCAAAGGACTCTCACTCCGCTTGTCTATGATTTCTCATGAGGGACATGCAGGACAATACAATGGGGCTGAGGATTTCCTCATTCACTGCAGGCCCATGACCCAAGCTGCATTCCTATGACATCTAGAACGACTTCATACAATCAAGGGATCAAACAGTGACTACAGACTGGGATTACGACTTCAAGAACGCAAACATTTCCCTACCCCTCACTCCCCAAATAGATTGATGGTTTTTAGCCCAGAAATGCAAATATTTTTCCCATCCTCTTACTACAAGGAATACAACTCATAAAGACCAGGTGTCAGGACCTACAGAAGCCATGGGGAGCATGTGAACAGGCAGGAAGGGATCAAGTACCCCAGAGGGACTTGTTAAATTCTATTTTGGAGGATTTTACCGGCACACAAACAAGGATGGGAATTCTCACCAGGAAATTAATTCTGTTCTTTAATTTCCAGAGACTTGGAGCCCAAGGGGGCCAGAAACACCTTGGTCCCCCAAGATCTGTTACTAACATTGTCTCTTCCTCCTTTAATGGAAATCAACTGACCCCCTTAATAATTCTGGGAAATGCAACTGAGGAAATTTGATGTTCAATTTAAATTTCTCTCATCCTTTTATTCAAATTTATTCTTATATTTAAAAATCAAAGGAAGTAGAGTATAATTTCCTAAAGTTATTTTAATATATGTACCAATCAGCTAAGAAAGTAAGAGGCTGATGATTACTCTGAGACCTCTGACCTGCAGAAGGTCTGAAATGGGGTTTTCCCCATTAAATCTGCTCAGTAACAGGCTTACTGGTAGACCCTCATGTAGTGAAAAGATGCTGCTTCCTCATATTGATAATGTCCAAGGCATCTGGTGCCTGGAGAAAACAGTCATCAATATCTGTTATTCATGATCTAATTTACTAAACATACGAATATATGAACTACATTTCCTAGTATGATTTTTGTAATTTTACTACTATACATTCCTCTTATTGGTCTTAAATTAGTTTTTCCTTAAATTCTATTCTATCTGGAAAAATATATTGGGTTTGATAACGGAAAAGCTATGTTCAGTTTATTAATAATAATTTTGCATTGTAGGGTAAAGAAAATATCAGGCTTTTCTGCCCTTCCGCCATCAGGATAGATGATGGATCCTTGTCCTGAGTGCATGCCTGATGGCGGGCACCTGGAATAGGGTGTGGGCATAGGTAGATGGGATTCAGCTGAGCTAAGACTGTGCTTTTAAGGGCGGCGTCACAGGGGGACGCCAGTAGCAGCAGCAGCAGCAGAACCTGAAGGAGAAGCTGAAGCAGAAGCAGAGAATGCCAGAGAGCCCAGATAGAGTGAAGACTTGCTGGGGGCTGGGAGGTCTGCCAGCCTCCCAGCCCCCCAGCCAGCACCCCTGCCTGCCATATGCCTGGTGAACCCCAAATAAAAAACCTGCAAAACTACTGAGGACTCTGACTCCTCCTTTACCCGGTCTGCATGGGATCAGAAAACCTGTACCGTGTCCAGTCCGGCCCTTACATGCATATTTGCTTTTGATACTTATTTAATAACTTCCTTTTCTTCCACCATCCTTTTCCACTTTTTTGTTATCAGTATTATATAACCCTCACGTAATGCACTGGTTACCTAAGCCTCGTTTTCTACTTTCAAAAATGTTTGGAATGAAAATTAGCTGTTCCTTTTTTTTTAGAACTTTCATTTTCAATTTTTTTAGGATTATATTAGTGTCTAAAACCATTTTGCTAACTTCCCCACTAAGAAGTTGGGTTATAAATCTTTTCATTGTAATCATCTGGGCTTCCCCCCATAATTCTATATTACAGCTAC